ACAACACTTCCTCGGGGTCGGCGACGCCCGACGCCGCCAACTCAATTCACGAACGCTCACACGACTTCTCTGAAATGTCGCTTTTGCACTAACAAGCCAAACATCTAATGAGCACCCGACATCAAAATACGTCGCTTCGTTTTGTTTTTGGGTTTAGTTTCTTTCTTCCGAACTATTTCGTTAGAAAAAATAAATAGGCCAACGAGTCAGAAAAGAGCTCAGCGTGGAGTAGGACGGCAAGAACGGAATCCTCAAGCCTAAGAAAGAAAGAAAGAAAGAAAGAAAGAAAGAAAGAAAGAAAGAAAGAAAGAAAGAAAGAAAGAAAGAAAGAAAGAAAGAAAGAAAGAAAGAAAGAAAGAAAGAAAGAAAGAAAGAAAGAAAGAAAGAAAGAAAGAAAGAAAGAAAGAAAGAAAGAAAGAAAGAAAGAAAGAAAAAGAAAGAAAAAGAAAGACGGAGAAGAGACAGGCACGAGAAGAAATTTTTCACACACTTCGGCCTTCCTTCGATTAGAATTCAGTTTGCTCTGAGACTCTTCCTGTCGCAGTAAACAGACAGCGGAACTCAAACATTCGTTCCCCGGTGCCAGGCAGTTAACAGCTTCCAAGCCTGACGTCGTTCTCATCGCCGTCTCTGAACGCACTGCGTACGTCACTGAGTTTTTGGCCCCGGCTGAGACAAACATGGCTGTGAAAGAGACTGAATCACGGACCAGGTTTGAGCTGAGACAACTGTATCCCGGATTCATAATCGGGGTTCTCGGAGGAGTCAAGCCGTCACTGCTGGCTAACATTAAGCTCATTCCGGCATGCCAGCGTAACGCTGGAGCATTACTCAACCGCATGCAAAAAAAAAAAAAACACCTTGGTTCTTGCGTCGATCCGCCTACTGCGCGTGCGCACGATCCCAACTCACTGCAGTCTCCATCTCGCGGTTCGAGATAAAAATAAACAAAAAAATAATAATATTAATGGCGTCAAAATGAATGAAGTCGAATTATAAAGCATCATTAAAAAAAAGAGTATTTCGCCCGTAAAGAATTAACAGGAAGTCTTTAACGTTGCACCGCTGGGCCTCACGACGAGAGAAGAGTGTTCATTCCCTTTACAACCTCCATGACGTGGCGGTCTCGTTTCTAGATCCTACCTCACG